TTTTTTTTTTTTTGGTACTAGGAATTGAACTCAGGACCTTGCACTTCCCAGGCAGGCTCTTGTGCCACTGAGCTATATCCCCAGCCTAGAATGAAATATGTTTTAAAAGGGTGTTTTTCTTTTGAAACAGGGTTTCACTGTGTAGCTTAGACTGGCCTTGAATTTTCCATCCTCCTGCCTCAGCCTCCCAAGTGCTAGGATTACCAGAGGCGCCCCACCACACCTGGCTCTACACTTAAAATTTTAAAAATATGGAATAGTGACATGCTCGGCAGCTACAAATAATAAAATATATACACTTGTTTCCATTTTATATTGGAGCTACACAGTTGTGGGGAAAGGAACAGAGATACAGAAAAGTACAAACACAACAAAGGCAAGTCTTTTTCATGAAACAACAACCCAGGTATTCCTGGAGAGATGGGGAGGTCAAAGTTCTGACTCACTAATACTACTGTACTTGTTAAAAGTGCAAGGCTCTAAATTCTAAAGACTGTAGTATTATCTGGAACTTACATATTTTATTTAGGGCTTACAACTTGGAACTTCTCTTCATTAATAGTATGTTCCACTGAACTGGGCTGTGGCATGCCCCTGTCATTCCGGCTACTCTGGAGGCTGGGAGTTCAAGACCAACCAGAGTTCCCCCTCTCAAAAACAAAAACAAAATCCAACAAACCTTTAACTAAAAATTACTACAGGGCTGTGCGTTTATTCAGTGGTAGTGCACTTGCCTAGCATGTGCAAGACCCTGGGTTCTACCCTCAGCGTCAAATAAATAAAGCAATAATAAAAATGACCACAGAAAATGAATAATGAAGACAGGAGTGGCTGATTAAGCCGATATGAGTAAACATCAGACATTAAAATCACGAGCTGGACGAGGGGAAGGAGGGTCTGTGCAGCCCGCGTCCGCGTGGCGGAGGCTGTCAAGGCGACTCCTTCCCAGAGCTGCCGCCGCCGGGGACCCGGCGAGCAGGAGGCCCTTAGAGGGGATCCTTCCAGAAGGAACAGCCGTGTGAAGAGGGGGTCTGGCGGCGAGGCTTCGTTTATGGAACTGAACACCACTCGCAGTGGCGACTGGAGAGCTCGGAGGTCGTGGAGGCAGAGGGGGAGCTGCGACCTCGCGCTGAAGCTGGGGGACCGACGATGCCGGCCGGGCAGGTGCGGGCGCGGAGGCAGGGGTGGGGCCGGGGATCCGCGCCTGCAGGCGGCGGGGCGCTGTGGTCGCCGGC